GTCCGTGAGGCAGACACCCTGTCTACTTTTAAGGTTAGGCTTAAAACTTTGCTTTTTGATAAATTTTAAAGTTAGAGTGGCTCAGGTTATCCTGAGCTATCTTTATAGTTTTGCTGCTATAGGTTTAGACTGCTGGAGGACATAGGGACCCCTTTTACTCTCTCTGCTTTTTCTCACAGTAGCTTCATCTGGTCTGTTCCTGTTTGGCTGGGACTCCATCCTGGAGAGAAACATCAGCTGTGCTGCTGCCATCAACACCTTTGTTTATAGATGTTGTAGCGTTGCCTGTTTTTCAGTGTAGTCCAGTTTCTCTGACTGTGACTAACTGGATGTGCTCTCTTATCCTCTTGCATGGGAGCTGGTTCAGAGCTCGTCTGCCTGGCTGTGTGTTTCCTGGACGGGGCCGCCTTTTACAGCTGCTTTTTGTATCTATGCTTCTTTTTCTATGTCTGCTTCTGTGTCCTTGAACCCCAGTCGGACTCAGCAGATGGCCGGTCACACTGAGCCTGGTTCTGCAGGAGGTTTCTTCCTGTTAAAGGGGGGGTTTTCCTCTCCACTGTCGCAACAAGCATGCTTAGTGTGAGGAATTGCCTTTGAGTCAATGAGTCGATGCAATCAACTGGTTTTCCTTAAAAAGAAAACTTTCAATCAATCTGACTGGATGATCTGGTGAACTGTGAAGTACCTTGAGATGACATGTTGTGAATTGGTTCTATAGAAATAAACTGAATAGAATTAACAGTTGAGGAGCTGATCTCTAAAGAGCTGCTATAAAACAGTTAGATGCAAGAACTGTTTTTTTTTAATGTGAACAGGAGACTGCAGCAGAACCACTCACCTCCTCCAGAGCAGCCACTGTGTTCCTGCAGTGGGACATCCTGGTGGTGAAATAAGAGGCAGTCGGAGATTTATAGTCTTCATTTGTCTCTGCGACAAACTCTGAAACAGTGATTTGGTCCGGCATGGTGAGGCTCCAACAAGAACTTTAACCTTAACCTTCTTCTTCTCTCTGTTCAGATTTTTTAAAGCAGCACCAGCAGCAGTTAGGTTACCCGCGGAAAGTGAACCATCTCTGGGTTTGTGTGTGTCCTTCCCCCGCTGTTTGTTCCCAACACAACCCGGAGCACGAGCCGCAATGTGAGAAGCTAGCTCGGTTCTTTGACATCCAGTTCACCGCCTCATCCTCAGAGCTCCTCGGGGTGAAGAAAAGCCGAAAAAACGGCGCCAGATATCCAGACTGGTTTGTGCTAGAGCCGCTGCTGGTCGGAGACAACTTCTTCTGCCGCGGAGCTCCGGGGAACAACAAGCAGGCGATTCAACGGGAGCGCAACGGAGTGACAAAGGTAGGGGAGGGGGCTCAGTCAGAGCGGCTCAGCCAATGGGAAGCGGGAGCTGGAATGGGAGAGCCAATCAGAATCCATGGAAAAATGATGCCTTCACTATTCTCCGTAAATTGTCCTATCAACTGTACTGTTGGATACTACAGTTGTAATTACTCAAAATATGACCCCAGACACTACATCTAAATAAAAGTTAAGTAAACTGAAATGAAATAGTAAAGTTAAATAAATAGTAAAGTAAAAAAAAAAAAAACTAGACGAAATAGAGAACTTAAAACTTTCCTTTTTGATAAAGCTTACAGTTACAGTGGCTCAGGTTATCCTGAGCTATCTCTATAGTTATGCTGCTATAGGCTTAGACTGCTGGAGGACATAGGGACCCCTTTTCATCATTCTATCTCTATTTCTCCACTCTGCAGAATCTGTTAATCCAATCTCTAACGTTCTGCTCTCTCTGCTTTTTCTCATAGTAGCTTCATCTGGTCTGTTCCTGTTTGGCTGTGACTCCATCCTGGAGATAAATATCAGCTGTGCTGCTGCCATCAACACCTTTGTTTACAGATGTTCAATATCTGCCTGTTTTTCAGTGTAGTCCTGTTTCTCTGACTGTGACTAACTGGATGTGCTCTCTCTTCATCCTCTGACATGGGAGCTGGCTCGGAGCTTGTCTTCCTGGCTGTGTGTTTCCTGGACGGGGCCGCCTTTTACAGCAGCCTTTTCTATGTCTGCTTCTGTCTCCGTGAACCCCAGTCGGCCTCAGCAGATGGCCGCTCACACTGAGTCTGATTCTGCTGAAGGTTTCTTCCTGTTAAAAGGGAGTTTTTACTCTCCACTGTCACAACAAGCATGCTTAGTGTGAGGGATTGCATTCAAGTCAATGAGTCGATGCAAGCAACTGGTTTTCATTAGATAGAAAACTCAAATTGACTGGATGATCTGGTGAAGTGCCTTAAGATGACGCGTTGTAAATTGGTGCAATATAAGTAAACTGAATTGAAATAGAAAGATTGCAGAAAATAATTGCATTAATACAGTTCAGCTTCTTCTTTTACAAGCCTCCCACAAGTGTATTATTATATATTTTAACACTAACCATTGATAAAACATTTAATATTTGTTTATTGTCACCATCTTGGCACTGACGACTGGATTGTTGGTTTATTTCATCCACCTTCCTAGATCTGCCAGTCATAAGTGCCAAGATCATGACAACATATCGTATTGCCAAATCCTTGCCTATTCAAACACTTATTATAAGAAGACATGCAGCAAGTTAAAGCAAAAATAACAATCCAGGGCCTGGCTGATTGAGTCCCAGCTATAACCATTTGTAAGGATCTTTAAGATAACCCAGGAACCAAGAGGGAATAAAGACAAGCAGAAAGTGAAGCTAATTTAACACAAACCTGGATGCTCAGGGTACTGACCTAAAAAAGGAACCTTTTACTAGATCGTCACCTTAAAGCTGGAAGGAATTGTGCACCAACAACAACCCAGATGTCTTCCTTAGAATTTTTTAATCAGAAAATACAAACGCCAAACTGTTTAGGCTGTGGGAGCTGATGTATGTTTGGAGGAGTCAAAGAGTGGCTTTCAAGCATTAGTCCCCAATATAAAGCCTGATTGCTGGTATTGTTTGTCACGGTCAGAGGCTTTAAATAAGGAAGTATAAATATTTACTCATTGTTCTTAAGTGTCTTTTTCAGTATCTGTGCTTCATTTATGTTACTGAAGACTTTTATTCCCTTGTTTTGAACAAAAATATCTGTACTTTCTTCTCCTGGAGTCAGGATGTGTGACGGTTTTGAGAACCCAAATTTGGCACGGATGAGTTTGGATGTTTTAATAAAAGTCCAAGGGGAACAGAGGCAAAAATACTGAGAACCAAACAAAAACTAATGAACATCAGGGAAAATACTTGAGTGAAGCAAGAGACTAGAAAGCAATAAAACAACATCTACAACACAAGAAACCAGCACTGAGTGAAGCTCTGCTGCTCCTTTAAACCCAGCATTCTGATTAGAAACATCATCTTCACCTGGCTGCACAGGTTCTCCCCAAAGATCCTCTCTGTAGGGTGATGCATAACTCAGACTCACTAACACACAGGAACCCTGACACCTGGGCTTTTATTTTCTGTACATACTGACAACGACATAAAAGGACAGCTGAAACAAAAAGGAAGGAAACAGGATCTTTGCAGTAAGAGCGCCGTTTTGATTAGAGTTGCACTGATAGCAGTATCAGGCAGGGCCCCGATCCAGCACTAAAATGGTGGTATCGGTATCAGCGAGTACCAACAAATAGGGCACCGATACCCTTTTGAGAGCCAAAACTTAATTCAACTATTGTCACTCATTCCAGGTAGGCAATAAAAAGTTCGACTGGATTCACTTTGTTTTAGTCTTTTTCCTGCTTCACAAAGGAAGCTAGCAGCTTGACAAAGCCATGATGGCAATTATTTTACATCCAAGCATTATCTAATTTTCATATATACACACAGATGATATCGGTATCGGCCGATACTCCACAGCCAGGTATCGGTATTGGGGCCAAAAAATGGCGTCAGGGCAACACTACTTTTAATTATCTGAAAACACTGATATGGATGACGACAGGGGGCTAGAAATATTGCAGATAATGAATCAGATTATATGACACAAGCCATCCATTTCCCCTTTTTTAGATTTTAAATGTATGCACTCAATTCGAATGCTATTTGCAGCTTTAAAGCAGAATCAGAGCTTTTACAGGAGTCCTGTTAAGCTCAATCTGTCTGAAATTGGAATTTAAAACAAAAATAGTCAGTATGCTTTCTAGGGATGCACGATATGATCGGCCCCATATCGGTATCGGCCTTAAAACTGAATATCGGACATCGGCCACCCCACCGATATTTAACCCGATATTTGATCAGCTTCTGAATTTCTAAAGTCTAAAAAAGAAAAAAAATACTACTTCTTCCTT